CGGTGTTAGATATTCCCTACCCCTATTTTTCATGTTAATGACTTTTGATATTGATGATACCTTGCCTTTAAACAGTGAATGAAAACACCCCCTTCAAACTTTAGCGGACTGCTGTGTTAGTAGCTGTCACTGAGTTGGCTGCTGGCTTTCAGCAGCCCCATGAAGGAAAGGCCACTCGGTGTCGCACCCTCCCCACGAGCAGCTGTGGGTCAGACTGCTGTGACGCAGGGTTTTCACGGCTGAGTTTTAGAAGCAGGTTGCCAGGCCTGTCTTGCTGGTCTTAGTCTGGAAGCTCTGCTGAAGCCTGTTCAGCATCGTAGCAACATGCGAGCCTCCACCAACAGATGTCTCCACTGACAGATGGGAGACGGCTGCACGTGAGGTTCACTGCCTGGGGCTCGAACCTGGGTCTCCCACACTGAGAACTCCACCTGTGAACCAGCAATGCCCTCTGTTCAAAGAATAAAAAACCAAACATGCTGTGTCTGTGTTCTTCTTCTACTCCTGTCATGTTGTTCACCACTATCCCAGGCCCAGTTACCACACACTAATGAAGTCATGCCTGTTAGCAGAGTCATCAAAAAAATCTTTTTAATTTGATGAAGTCTCTATAATTTCTTTTTCCTTAATGGTACTGTACATAACAGTACCATTTCTAGACTGGACTTAATATTTATCTTCTTTTTCAAAGTCTCCTTAGGCCAATATCTAAGAAAGCTTTCATAAACTGTATTTCTATATTTTATTGCCTATATTGTGTCTTTATCTGTATCACTAATTCCTGAAAATTAAAGTTCTGATTTCCTTTGTATGTAACAGGTTTTACTATTAAGCTTCAAAGATCTTTACAAAAAAAGCTCCAGCTTGGCCACCAGTACTCTTACATTACCAGGAACGCTATGGTGCAAGGTACAGTTTAGAGAGCACATGACTGTTACAGAACACAGGTGCCCCCAGCACAGCCAAGTTTACCTCATTCACAGCCAGCACGGGAAGGTTGGTCCTGGATGGTTGTTTGGTCCTAGATGCTTTCAGTGGTCTCTTGATTTGTGGAAGATCTTGTTTTGGAACAAGTGTTTCCGATGACAGAGATGAGTAACGCTCCTTTAATACTTTTATAAACCACTTAGAACCCAAAAGACTTGGTTTGTGTGTCACTTTCCTGGGAACACCAAGTGGTTTCATGGCTGGCAGGTATGCCTTTTCATCCCCACAATGCACAGCATTCGTTGGAGAAACAGTACTTGTATTTGATATTTTCTGATTAATTTCTAGGATCTGAGACTTATTCAAACCACAAGCTGCTGTATCAGGAAGGACCAGGTCCAGGTTCTGATGGGTTGCCAGAGGGCCACATGCTGTATTTTCAAATTTCTTCAGGGGCTTTGATATCAGGTGAACAAGTCTTCGGCACTGACATGCCTTTGATAAAATACAGTGAGATCTGTCCAGGGCTCTCAGAAGTCTGGCTGGCATTACTACATCACGACCTGAAAGGAAACGAATGCAAAGTTGAGGGTTTTCTTTTTTCCCCATAATGTTTTGATATATAATCTTTCCCAAGGTACTACTCACAATTCTGTGAAAAATCATTTGTAGAACACATACATTGTAATCTAAGTCTAATAAAAAGGAGAAGGTTACAAAATAAATGAACGTGTGGACCACTTTTCCTTGTCACCTTTGTTTTTCTTTCCCGAAGATTATAAGAGAATAAAGCGAATGAGCTAACAAAAGAAAAAAAATCTAGCTGCTGTGGAGTCCATTCGGATTCATGGCAACCCCGTAGGTTACAGCAGAACTGCTCCAGAGGACTTGACCAGATCTTTTTTTTTTTTTTTTTT